CCACCCACCATTCTCTGTTGTTGCTCACCAGGTTGATTTCAGAAACCACAGCTGAAAGATTTAACTCTGATACATCAGCTGTCAACTTATCTTCTTCAGCTATGTGCACCTCAGTGGTCTTCTTCTTGGGGTTATGATGTGTTTTGCGGCTACGACAATCTTTAGCTCGGTGTCCTAGCTTGCCGCATATGAAACACTTCCCAGTGAACTTCTTGTAGTTTCCTTGGCTAGGACCTTCTCCAGAGTGCTTCCTCTTCTTATTTTTCTGTCCTGCTTCCACTACATTTGCCTTTGACACCATTGAAGAATTTTCGGCTCTCTTTTCAGATGTACGGTTATCTTCTTCAATTCTTAGCCTGACAATTAAGTCTTCGAGCCCCATTTCCTTGCGCTTATGCTTCAAGTAATTTTTGAAATCTTTCCAAGTAGGTGGCAGCTTTTCAATGATTGAAGCTACTTGAAAAGATTCACTCAATGTCATCTTCTCAGCATGTATCTCATGTAGGATCAGCTGGAGCTCCTGCACTTGGCTCACGACTGTCTTGGAGTCTATCATTTTGAAGTCCAGAAATCGTCCAACCACGAATTTCTTCAAGCCAGCATCCTCTGTTTTATACTTTTTGTCTAACGATTCCCAAAGTTCTTTAGCAGTATTTATTGGACTGTACATATTATATAAGGTGTTGTCCAATCCATTGAGGATGTAGTTCTTGCATAGAAAGTCTCCATGCTTCCATGTATCAACAGCTCCAAGCTTGGTAATGTCTGTATCACCCTCATCTAACACTGGAGCAGTCTCAGTCAGATACTTGCTTAGATTCAGAGTTGTAAAGTAGAACATCATTTTCTGTTGCCACCTTTTAAACTCCGTCCCGTTGAATTTTTCGGGCTTCTCCCCATGACTGACGGGAACATTAGGCACGGTAATACTCGTACTTGCCATTTGTCTGTTATATATTGATATACAGATCACGAGTTAAATTATAATAATTATAACAACAATAATAATTAAAAAATTATTACTATAGTATAAAGTATCTGTCTTAAGATTGTTGAGAAAATATGTATCATATACTATAGTATAAGATATTTAAATATTATTTGTAAATATAATATTTATTATAATAATCTATATATATATATATTTATAGTTTAATATCAAGAAATTAAAACTATAAAAGAACCTGATAAAGTCGAGGCTAGAATTTAATTCTATAACCTTAAGACAGATACGCCCCGCTACGGTGTTAACGGACTCTTCGGCGTCTATCTCCCATGATACAACGACTTTTCTTCCTTTGGTAGTAGCACTTCAAACCAATGGAATAGGCGAACCGGCTCGGTGAAGTACTCTCAGACTCGGATTTGGACTCGAAGTGAGTGACTAAGGTTCGAACCCAATTAGTTAGGGTTGAACCCAAACAGAATCCCTAAGGTTTGAATCCAATTGGTTAGGGTCGAACCCAAACAGATTATAAAAGAAAAAGAGGGAGAAGTAAATTCAGAAGAGAGAAGGAGGGCTATTTATAGGCTTAATGGTGCCTATTCCAAATGGGTGCACCCATATTCCGAATGGATGCAACCATTGTGGACCAATGAGACATTAGAAAGCCAAAACTGATTTAGGTTCAAAAGGTGCAACCCTTGGTTCAAACAAAAACTGTTTTATGTAAAAAGGTTAGACCCATTTTACAATTAAGCCCCGCCCCGCCCAAGCCCGGACCGGACCGGGCGGCGCGCGCGTGTGTGGTAGTTGGTTCGGATCCAGGCTAGCCTAGGTCCTCCCCCTCTTAAAAACTTGGGTGCCCTTGGGCCCAAACCCAAATCCCATACTAGACATATATATACTCAAGGTTGCTTTGTTACTTTTTCGATGTGGGACAAGCATTTCCCATTTTATTCACATCCATTTAGGTTTTATAAATCACTTACTTTGGAGCCAATTTCTCATTCACCTGGAAACGGATTTGAGAAAATAAATATACCACGTTCATCTCCTCGCAGAAAGGAACGCACTCGTCAATAGATTCGCAAAAAATTCTTAGCGGAATCTTTTAAAAATCCTTCCAAAGTTTGCGTTTTCTAATGCCGTTTCCAACAACCTAGCAAATTCAAGATGCGAACTCTTGAGAGCTTCGATGGGACGTGGGACCCTCTCAATCATTTGGAGACCTACAAAGCTCTTATGTATTTGCAAGCCGTACTGGACGAGATTATGTACAGGGCTTTCCTTACCACACTAAAGGGTTGGGCTCGTCTCTGGTTCAATAAATTAAAGCCAGGCTTCATTAAAAACTTTAATGAGTTGAGCAAACAATTCAGATGACACTTCATCGCTGGGCAGAGGCACAGGAGACCAGCAACACACTTATTGAATGTGAAGCAGCAGAAGAGAGAGGCCTCTTCGTGATTACATAAGTCGTTTTAACACTGAAATACTGCAGGTAGAAGAGGTTGACGACAAAGTTGCCCTCACAGCTTTATAGGAGGACTACAAACCTCTAAGTTCCTATTCTCCTTGTCAAAGCATGGCAGAGTTGATGAAATGCTGCAGGTAGAAGAGGTTTACGAGCATGGCAGAGTTGATGGTTAGAGCACGGAAGCACATGAATGCTGAGGATGCTATGAATGCACGAAAAAACAAAGATGGCGAAGATAAGAGGTCGGATAAAAAGAGGCCAGCGCCTAGCACTAGGGAGGAAAAGGAATCGAAGTACAAGAAATTCTCAGGCACCTAGGCTGACAGATCGTTTCGTCGTTTGGTGAGCCCAGGCAGGTATAATAACTATACCCCTCTCAATACATCTGTAGAGCAGGTCTTTCTGCAGATTTCAGATAACTCATCATTGAAATGGCCGCCAAAGTTATAAGTTGATCCAACAAAGAGGTTTCGAGATAAATACTGTAGGTTCTATTGGGACCACGGACATAACACAGAAGATTGTTTCGACCTTAAGAACCAAATCGAGAACCCTATTCGCAAAGGTCATTTAAGTAGATTCACAAATGGGAATGGAAAAAGAGGCTCCAACCCAGCCCGAAAGGGCCGACATGATCGCTTTCCTCAACACCAACCAATAGGTGAGATCAGAGTTATATCGGGTGGCTTCGCTGGTGGTGGCAAGACGAGTTCGGCTCAGAGGGCTCATGCTAGGAGAATTCGGAGTTTTTCAGAGGTGAATGAAGTTGGGTGATAATTCATCTAACAAAATTACCGCGAGTTGAGGAGCCGAATATAACCTTTTTTTGAAGAAGATGACAAGCGAATTCACTAGCCCCATGATGATCCTTTGGTATTTTCCATGGTTATCCCTAATTTCACTGCTAGATGAATACTGGTTGACAATGGCAGCTCAGTTGACATACTATTTCTTAGGGTGTTCGACAAATTGAAAATTAGCTGGAAGAAGCTACGACCCATGAAGTCATCACTGGTGGGATTTTCAGGCGACAAAGTATATTAACTAGGGTAGTTACCTTTCTGGTCACTACAAGAGCCCATCCAAAGCAGGTCACTGTGATGGTGGACTTTCTAGTGGTGGACTGCCCATTATCATACAACATTATCCTGGGGAGGACAACCCTGAATACCATGAAAGTAATCTACTTCCCTTGTTAAAGGGTGAGCTGAGTGAAACTCATACTAATCTACTTCCCTTGTTAAAGAGTAAGCTAAATAAAGCTCATAGTAATCATCCTATATCTATCAAATTAAAAATTACATACAACCCCTTAATGTTCATTTAACTACTTGAAAATTAATTCCCTTTGAGGAATTATTTCTAATAATTGAATAAACCCAATATTTATGAATATTATAAAAATTATAAGTATCAGTATTCATGAAATATTGCAATTATGTCTACTACTAAAATTAATATCCATTAATCATTATTGTTAGGCCACTTTGGTAGCTACCAACCTTTCTATAATATGAATATTTAATTACCTAGTGATAAATTTAACATTAAGTTACCCACCACATTATGCACACATAATTTACAAAGTCAATTAATTAAACTGCTAGTGGGTATCCAAAAATTTAATAGATACATATACTGTAGTGTATATTAATAAACATATATTTAATCATGTACAAAACAAAAAGACATGATTACAATTTGAGAACCTCGTTTTACGCAGCAAAATCATAAACAAAAGTTCATTCTTTATACACAGTGTTCTAACTTTCAACTACTATATATAATAATGAGATATATATGTATAATATATATATACAACTTTCTGTACACTCATCCATTATGTACGAAAATCAAAGCAAGCTAAAATTGTCTTATAATATATAACTTTTAACCATTATGTAAGCACGAAAATCGAAGTATCATTATTTTGCATTAATTGTTTAATTTCAACAAAAACAAATCATAGCAATACCACATACATACAATTTCTTCAAACCAAATAAGGAAAAACGGTACTGTTCATGAAATTGAAATTTTTTGATCATGACAGGCAAGTCTCAATTAAAGCAGTGAAACAAATATAATTAATTTTAATTTAAACTTACACATTTATTTATGCAAGTATAATTGAAAAATAATGAGTTCCAAAACTATGGGCTCTGATACCACATGTAAACTCTAATTAATTTGTGTTAGACTTTAATCACAAATAATCATAAATCCCAAGATCTTAACTTTTAACTTTTGTATATTTCGAATCACATATTGATATATGCACAGGTTTGCACTCGTCCAGATATTGGATTTGCAGTTAAAATGCTAGGCAGATACCAAAGCAATCCAGAAATGTATCACTGGAAAGCTGCAAAGAAAGTCATGAGATACTAACAAGGAACAAAGAATTATATGCTCTGGTATCACATGTAAACTATAATTATTAGTACAAAACATTAATCACAAATAAACATGAATTTCAAGATCTTAAAACTTCATTATTTTCACATAGTCTATAATGCATAAATAAATAGTTAGATATAAATATCTCGATTTGTAATTGTAAATCTTGTTGAGATCAAGTCAAACATCGAGATCCTTTTTGCCGAAGAACAACGTGATAAACTGCAAGTACAAACAATAGCCAAAACGTGTGGAAACTGATTTTTCTCTCTTGGCCTTTTGCACACATAAACATTATACGTGTTATTTTCATTCGCGTATATAATTGATGGGAATATACACATTTATAAAGGCAGAGAGATGATTAATTTTTCTTTTAGTAACTTTTAATTTCATTCTCCGTCAAAGTAAGGAATAAGTAGGAAAACACTTTTCCAATAATTAATTACCAAAAAGATAATTTATAAGTTGACCAAATAATATAATATTAATATAATATTTATTTTATTTAACCACCAAATAATAAAAATAAATCACATATCTAGATCATGTGTGTCACAACTATAAGAAAATACCTTACAATAAATTGTTCATATGGATTTAAACCATCCCCAATGTGATGTAAACTTTATCGGAATGACCTTGCACCTGTTTACCAATCCAATTATCCAAGCTCAGGATGTCTCATTATAATTCAATAGCATAATTAAGCAGTCAGACGAGATATAAAGGTTTAACCTGTCCATTCGTTACTTTTAGTGAAATCAATACCGACAATGAGATTACAAGACTTGAGTCCAGCGCGTGCAAGAGACTCACTCACCTGCAGAGAAGGTAATTAAAGGTAACAAGTCTTGCCTGTACGAAACATGAATTGTTTAGGCTGAAAATATAAAGAAAGAGAGTAGTTGTTTCATCTGTTGTTACATCTCCATAACAATCTCTAACTTCAAAAATATCGTGAGGCTCAGCCATTCTTTTGATCATCTTATACTCCACTGCGGCATTAACAGTTTCCTCCACTTCTAGAGCAAACTTGAGTGTGCGCACAACCTCAGTCATTGGAGGGCGTTCGGCCGCTCTAAGAATTAAGCATTTCCTAGCAATTTCCACAAACAGTATTAAATAAAAAGGCGATATCTTTCTAGTCAGATACGGATCGATGATTTGTTCAACTGAGCCCGCTTCTATGTATTCTATGGCCCACGTGCTTAGAACCCTCTCCTCTCCCTCCATAGATATTGATTTCCTAGCGCACAACACTTCAAACAACACCACGCCGAAAGAGTAAACATCAGATTTTTCCGTATCGACAAGTTTCCCAATACTCTGGATCGTATAGTCAACTATACCCACACATTCTGTGAAGATGAATGAGACATTCTCGGGAACCAACAAGGATACCTTAAAATCTGAAATCTTTGCAACCTATTTTTGATCCAAGAGAATGTTAGACTATTTAATGTTACGATGGAAAATTCTCTGCCTCACACTTGTATGAAGGTATTCCAGTCCTTGTGCCACATCAATGCAGATTTGGAGCCTCTGCTTCCACGACGCAGGATTATTATTATTGCTGGAATTGTGGAGACGATCGAATAGGTTTCCATTGGCCATGTATTCGTGCACCTGGATCATCTCATGACCATCATAGCAGTACCCCACCAAGGACACTACATTGATGCATCGAAGTTGGGATTGCACCTCCAACATTGTGCAAAAATTATCATAGAAGAGATCATTGGCTATGAACCATTTGATAGCAACCTTCCCCATGTTTTCTATATAACCCTCGTAAACCTTCCCCATTTTTATTCGGAGGCGATCATTGAAATTGTCTGTAGCGGTTCCAATCTCTGCCAATGAGAAACGACGACAATGTACTTCTGGCAGCCGATAACCTTTTCCCTTCGAAGGTCTCTTTCTATGCCAAAGCGAGCCCCACAACCGCGACCCCCATGATGGTCCATTATTTCTTCTAGGAGAAATTCTATAAACCAACAAGATATCATTTCTTACCTCCATAGGAGGTACACTGTAATGCTCAGACATTGGGGGAGAATCCTCCGACGAAATACTCCATTCAGTTTACTTGTTGTCATTCCCACCAACACTGTTAACCTCTTGCTCCATATAAGAGTCGATCCTTCCCTGAAAGTCCAATGTAATTAATTCAAGTCCCGCCACTATTTCAACCATTGTAGGCCGTTCATTCGGTTGAACATGAAAGCATTTGTTTGCAATTTCGGCAAACCCCTTTAAACAATGAAGTGAGGTTTGCTCTTTCACACTTGGATCAACGTGCTGATCAAGTGTTCCCATTTGGATGCATTTTTGGGCCCATAGAGCTAAACTCCGCTGCTCTTCCTCAATTGTAAAATCAACATCCCGCCTCCCACACAGCACTTCAAACAGGTACCACACCTAGCACACCAAATGCATAAACATCTGATTTCTTAGTCAGTCTTCGAGTCATAAAATACTCTGGATCTAGATACCCGAATGTACCTTTAACATCAGTGCTAATGTGCGTGCACGATACATTCGCATTGTCCATCTTGGACAACCCAAAATCAGAAATTTTAGCTACCCAATTTTTATCCAACAAAAAGTTTGAGCTCTTCACATCACGGTGTATGATACCGTCGTGGACACAGCTACTCGTATACAGGAACTCCAACCCACGTGCAGCCAATACAGATGTTTAGTCATCGTTCCCAGGAAAGAGGATAGTTACCACTACCATTTATACTAGTCTTGTGGAGATGGTCAGCAAGGGTCCCATGAACCATGTACTCGTAGACCAGGATCATCTCCTAACAATCATCGCAATAGCCAATTAGAGAGACAAGATGATTGTACCGAAGCATAGAAAGGGCATTGATCTCAGCCCAAAACTCATGAACCCCTTGTTTGGATTGCGAATTCAACCGCTTTATGGCCACACACCTTGTCCTGTCAATGAGCCCTTTATACACGTTACCAAATCCACCTTTACCACTTACTAGTTCATCATCAAAGTTGTTGGTGACCAACTGGATCTCAACAAGTGAGAAGCGTCCATGCAACTCCTCCGCTTCCAATGACGAAAAGCTCTTTATTTTGCTAGAGTTTGATTCTAACCAATTTAAATGGTAAACCAGAAATTCAATAAAGTGAGTGCAAGAATTATACCCGTTGCAATCGTATTTTTGTTGCAAAAAGCTGAAAATAATTTTCGGAGTCTTGGAGTCCTAGATGTCGGAGCGTATGCTGTGAAAACAGGATTCACTCCAGCGAGACTATTGTCGGGGTTGCTCAACTTAATTATCTCTATACCTTTGAGGATGGCATCAACTTTTTTAGAGCTCGACTCATACTTCTGCTGCAAAGTTACGATTAGATCATGTCTGCACTCCATCCGGTCTCCTTCCATCATGACCACATAGTCCTTGTATGCTGGAACCCCATATCCACCGCCCACATCAGCATCAATCTCAATAAACTTATTGTTTATTAAGAGATTAAACATTTTTTGCGCGCTCTCAGTGATGATGGATTCAAGCTCACAAAAATGAAGCCTAACTAAATATCTGATACCCAAATCTACTGGTAATTTCCATGTGAAGTTGTAAACTTGGTTTGTTTGTTGGTTCAAATTAATTGACCATGCAGTTTGATAAACTTTAAGCGGTGCAGAATATATGGGTATGTTTGTGTATGTGATCATATTTCTTGTACTGACTTGTAAAAAACTTGATTGTAACTAGTAATTTTTGTCCTCATACCACATACGAAACATGCCCAAATCTTCTTCTGGTAAAATGAATTTCCGACCAACATTTAACCGGTAAACTATCTCTTATGTAATGTCATTATCAATATGGTATCGAAAAAACTTATTGCCAACGACATGAGCGCCCAAATCACCATCTGGAGTGTAATAGAGACCGGCAGGCATGGAAACGATCTCAATTCCGTTTATAAAAGCATAAACATTATCACCATATGAAGAAGTTGTACTTTTAAACGAAAAAGAATGTTATGTTGAAGACTTGACTTTCTTTGATGTTCAAATAGAATTCTTTTGCAAAATAACTTGCACCCAAAGCATCAGCAGTAAGAGAAGTACTGAAATTGCTGAGGAGGGTGTAAGGACCAGCTTTAACAGTAAAAACTTAGATCTTTCAAAACCAGGGTATGGAGTTGGATAGAAGTGCAATCGAATGAATTTCTGACCTGGTCTAAGCTGAAATGTATAGGTGAATGGAGCACGAGAGACCCAAGCGGTCGTGTAGGGAACAAGATCGGCAAAAAAATGATTGGTGGACAGTTGTTGATAAGCTTATTGATTTGCCTTTTGCTTCTTTCGGTGAAGTAAATGTTGAACCCATATCTCCGACCAGTGACGGACCCAGAAAATTTGGTGAGGGGGGGCGAATTTTTAATTTGTGGGTACAAAATTATATGATGGGTTTATTTTTGTAATTTTAGTAGGGTTTTTTTCATAAATTTTAAAAAAATTTAAGTATAAAATGAAAAAAAAAATCAGTGGGGCAAATTATAATTATAGTGGGGCATCTTCATAAATTATCAAAATTTGAAGTATAAAATGCTAAAAAAAAAAGAATCCAGTGGGGGCGAATTGTAATTTTAGGGGAGGCATTTTCATAAATTTTAAAAACATCAGGGTATAAAATGAAAATATTAAAAATTCAGGGGGGGCATCTGCCCCCCCTAGTCCCCTGCTGGGTCCGTCCCTGTCTCCGACCCATTCCCGGCCATCAAAAGCAGATGAACTTCCAGAGGAGCCGCAGTTAATGGCAATGTCATCTGATAGGGAAAAATAAACCTAACCTATCTTAACCTAACGATAGAGGCAACTAAGTGTTGACCAACCACCAGATCTCTTCTACTTTCGAAGGATAATATTTCGTTATCAAGGATAACGATTTCCATTGGATAAGTTCCATGGGATAATGACAAATCTTATCAAGGATAAGATTTCCATTGGATAAGTTCCATGGGATAAGGATTATGATATTCCCTTATCAAGATAAGGGAAGTGACGATAAATAGGAAGACGACTCGGGAATAAGGTACGACGAAAAAATTATTATTAAATCACTGCCTTCTTTTAGACCTCCGGTGATTAACTTGATCGTCGGAGAGCTCTTGGCAGGCGCCACACCAGTGCCGTCAAGGTTTATCGATCTTCTCCTTTCTTCCTTGCAGGAAAATGATACCGTATAGGACCGCATGGATTTCAGCCTCAACAGTTGGCGCCATCTGTGGGAACTACGATTTCTTTATATGTTGTTCATTTAGGTATATGCGTTTGCGGTCCGGTATGGTTATGAAGGAATACCGTTGCAGGGATCTGGTCAAGGGGAAGAGTCGGGTGAGAACCTAGACGTCCCGAACGACCAGGAACGGCTTGCAGCATTGGAACTACAGGTCCAAACTCTAAGTCAGGGTATGGATTAGTTGATCCAGCAAAATGCGGCGCTCCTGTAACATCTTGTTCACCGGTTCAACAAAACTTGCCACGACAAGATCTCTCAAATCCAAACGGAGGTAATGAGAATCTTGAAGAGCAAGATAATCATCCTCCACAGAATGAGACCGAAGTGAAACAAAGCCAGGTGGGAAACCGACGTAGAGAGGTGATCTACCCATCTCTCCCACAGAGTTCCCGACCTCATGAAGGCACAGTTTTCTGTCTTAAGGAAAAGACAAAGAATGTTACTTATTTTGACCTGCAGATCGAGGATCTCAATGGGAAAATGGAAAATGTAATGCATGCTATGAAAGGAAAAAGTCATGCCGCCATAGATAACCTGGTACAAAGGACCAATTTACCGTTCAGCCCCGCCGTTATGAAATGTCCACTGCCTAGTAAGTTCAGGATGCCCTCGTTCGAAAGCTTTGATGGGACCAAAGATCCCCTCAATCACCTATAAACCTTTCAAGCTCTTATGCATTTACACACCATGCCAGATGAAATCATGTGCCGAGCTTTTCCCATTACACTTAAGGGATCAGCAAGAGTTTAGTTCAACAAGCTGAACTCAGGAACTATCAACACCTTCGAAGAACTGAGTAAACAGTTTGTGAGTCACTTCATTGCAGGTCAGAGGCATAGGAGGTCGGCTACTTACCTGTTTACCATGGAGTAACAAAAGGAAGAGTCGATCTGGGAATACATCACCCAATTCAACGCAAAGATGTTGCAGGTAGAAGAGGTGGAGGACAAGGTAGTTTTGACCGCTTTCATAGGAGGACTCAAAACCTCTAGATTCTTGTTCTCCTTATCAAAAGAACCTCCCACCAGCATGGTAGAGTTGATGATCAGAGCACAAAAGCACATTAACGCTGAGGACACCATGAGTGCACGGAAGGAAGGAAAGGACAAAAAGAGGTCAGCCCCTCTCACCAGGGATGAAAATGGTACCAAATACAAGAGATCGTTCTTCAGCCAGAGCGATAGCACATATCATGAGAAGGACTCAGATGAGTATACCGACTAAAAATTGTCTCACAGCTGGAATTAACCTTATCAAGTCATTCACAATAAAGACTGGGGACATCTCAGTTAATCATTTTAAATAGAGGGTAGCTCCCTCACGTGTTATCTTGTTTTCAATAAGCCTTGAGGCAGTGATAGTCTTTAATAAAATTCCTTTCAGTTGCTTGACTCTTAGTCAATTATCTTTATACGTGCAGTATCCCCGTATTACAGGAGATAGTAAATGAGTGTCCTGTATTATAAGGACTCGGGCTAAATGAATCCCGTAATCCATATTCCCATACTATAGGAGATAGTAAATGAGTGTCCTGTATTATAAGGACCCGGGCTGAATAAATCCCGTAATCCATATCATCGTACTATAAGGAATAGTAAATGAGTGTCCTGTATTATAAGAACCCGGGCTGAATGAATCCCGTAATCCATATCCACGTATTATAAGGGATAGTAGAAAAATGTCCTGTATTATAAGGACCTGGGCTGAATGAATCCCGTAATCATTATTCCCTTACTATAAGGGATAGTAAATAAAAATCCCTTACTA